GGTCGGCAAACTTTTGAGACGGAACGTACCCAAAGAGCCGCATGCGGCTCGTGAGCTGCAGTTTGCCAACCCCTGGTCTAGCTGGTCTGAAGTTTTGAGATTTTTAAAGAACAAAATGTAATATAAACATTAATCATATACCTTTTATTTATTCAGAGATCTAGCTTCCACAAAAATGAGGCAATGCCTCCTTGGATAAAGTCAGTCTTTTCACTTTATCTTAACATCAGTTAGATACTTTCAGATTCTGATATACCAGTGCCAGAATCTTTCACTGAAGGGGTAATTCTGCAACTGTGATGGCCAAGCTAACTTGCCTGCTCCCCTGCTGTGTCCGAACGGAATGCTGAGGGCTGCCCCTGCTCAGGCTTGCTATCTATATAAGAAGGAAAACTGAGGTGAGGGGTGATGGTGGCGCCAAAGGACTCCTCATGTTCTCAGAAGGGCTCCTCAAAAATCCTCATATGCAATGAGAGACCCATGAATGACAGTCCCAAAAACTGGGGTATTCCTGCTCCTCAGAATAAATAAGCAAACAAACACGCAAAGCGTTCTCCTATGGTATGTGTTGCCTTTTTCCTTGTTTAAATATAGGTCCATCTATTTTAATGAATTCACCATTTTTAAAGGTATTATTATAATGAATACAAACTACATTGTTTCTGGGCCGCCCGAGTAGCTCAGTTGATTAAGAGCTTGCTTAAGAGTGCAAGCTCTGAGCAGCAGGGCCGCCGGTTTGATTCTCTGGCCCAAGCTGAGCTGCCACCAGGTAGCAGGATGGCTCGGCTAAAAAAAAACAAAAAACAAAAACAACGAAATAAAAAACAAACCTCACAAACAAACTACATTGCTTCTGGCTTCAAGTTTCAACGAAGCCCAGATACCAATGGCTGATGTATGATGACACCAAGTAATTAGAAGTATGGACTTGAAAACGCTCATGGCATTGGAAAATAAGGTCTAAAATATTGTCTACCGTTGACTGAGAGCCTATTATGACCCAGAGTGGTCCCAGATGAGAAACATGATCTAAAAGAAAAGAATAAGGACTTCAGTGACTAACCCTTCTGAGCTTTAAAGTCTTTCTTTATAAAATATGTACTGCAGGGTTTGAGTGATAATTAGTAATTAATAGTAATTTTAGGCATATATAAAAACCTAGTCCACTGCCCAATTGAGTCAGTGTTTAATAAGTGCTGGGTATTATTAATATATTATTACTTTAATTCTTAAAACAATCTAGAAAAGAGAAACTCCTCTTACTATTTCAGCGGCAAGAGGGCTCAGAGACATGAAATAATTTGACCAAAGTCTTCAGCTCACAAATGTTCAGGGTTCAAACCCCAGGCCTCCTCACTCGAAACCCCATGACTTTTTTATGATCTACATTTGGTGCTAAGACTCCACGAGTTTCAGGACAATGGAAGTTGAGGGTCCCTTTCTCTGACACACAAGTTTAGTCTCGGACTTTCCATTTATTTACTAAGGAGGATGGAAGAATAGCTGAAGAGAAGACCACCATACTCATTTCTCAAATATACATCCGTTGCTTAGGTTCTTGAGGGGATGTTCATTCTTCCTAAGGATCTGAAATTAAGCACCAGTAATCCTAGAAAAACTCCTCTCCTTGTCGCCAATAATCCCAAAAGCAATAGCTCAGGCTGAGGAAGAAAGACAGTCATGAGCCAAAAGCACATATGTCAAGAAATGATGCAAGTGGCTTGCATGGTAAGGTGCGTTCATGATGATCTGGGCTGACATTACCGTTTTCGAGATTCTCACTGCTTTCGTAGCATCCGGAGTCTCGTGGAGAGCAGCCACTCAGGCCCTGGCTGTCGGCAAGCAGCTTCTCCTGGGACCCTGACTGGTCACTGTTACCTGGGAAGGTGAACACACAGCACGGAATCACAAGGGGAATGAAAAGCAGAGGTTTCCAAGTCAACGAAATCCCAATTTTATCCTCAGTTATCACCATACATTTTGAAGCCCTGGACTTTTGGAAGAGAACGAATTGTTTTAAGGTAAATGAGATGAAAATGAACAAGTGAGATCAGAACATTTTTCTTTCCAAATAAAGTATCACACGAAGACAAATTTGGAGAGTACACAGTTGGAGGATATCAGTGCTTTGTAAGTTACCCAGAGGGTGACTCTGGTCTCGGGCCCATCAGGAAACACTATATCACAGTAGGGGAGGAGCGGTCATCATCTTTTCTGAGGATGGTCCCATGGAGGAGAAGCAAAGAGTGAATATGTCCCTTTCAGAAGGAGGTGTTAGGGCATATGCTTTTTAGAGAGCTATAGGATTTGAATTTCAAGTTATTTGTTATCAGCTTTCCAAATATGGCAGCTAACATAAAAGCTAAGTGTCAAAAGAAATATTGAATTTTATGACAATTTGCAAGCATTCTTTGGCTTTGATGACATGCGCTGGCCCTTCTATAATCTCAGTGAAAAATGGGTGACAGGCCAGGAATAAATTCTGTTTTTGTTGTTTGGAGTGTGTTTGAGGGCTTTCTTTCCTTTCTGCCTTCTCCTTGTCTTGGGTCAACATTTCTATGCCATGTTCACAAAGGGTAAGGCAGGAAAAGCTCAGGGGGCCCTCTAACTGGACACCAAGCAATAAATACTCTTAGAGTGGAGAACTGAAAGTTAAATGTCCTCATTCTAAGGAACCCTTCTAAGAGAAGCAGCAAATTGTGTCTGCTGAGTGAAAGTCTACCCAGAGTAAGTCACGTGGGAAGTCACATGGGCCTTCATCACCCAGCAGTGCTATTTACTCGGCATGCTGCAAAAAAAGGGTACGTGTGGTCTGACAAGGGATCAAGGAAAACACGAAGAACATCTTTGTATTATTATGCAGAGTAAGTGCTTGGTCACATAAAACAGAAACCAAGAAAACATTTTCTACATAAAATAACTAGTTGCATGATGAATGGCTTTATTTTCCTTTTTTCTTCACTTGACCTCCCCCTTACCACATATACAAAGAAAAAAGAAATCAGTAAACCAGAAATCTGATGCCTTTTCTCAGGTCATTAAAAAAAAAAAAATTGCGGGAAGGCCGAGGGCTGCCTCTCCACATATGTGCCAGCTGTTCCTACCGTCCACTCACCACTTCCCGTTCGTACTTCTCACATGGAAAGCATTTTATAATGCCAGTCATGGCAGAAATCATGGCAGAGAAAGCCCATAAACGAGAGTCCCACATTAAGAAGTGTTATTTTTAAAATGATTAATGAAAACGGAACTAATTGGAAGCATAAGAGCAAATCCCACCCCGTCCCCCACACGAAAAACGTGGAACATTCTAGAGTGATGTCCTCATTTTGTGGAAGAGTCTGTGGCTTTGGAGTGGCCTTTGTCCTAGCCTACCATGTTATTTAGGAAAGTGATACTTATGAAATGAGGGCTTTGAGCTATCAGTTACAACCCAGGAAGAAGAATCGACGTAGTTTAATCCTTGGCAAAACAGTTCAGTGTGCTGCTTTGGCTAAAACAGACTCCAAAGTGCTGACCGATGGGAATAAAATAGAAAACGTGTCCCCTGCCACTGCATGAAAATGCAGGCTGTGTCTGCATCATTGGGGATGCCAGCCTCACCAGACCCAGCCCGGTACCTTAAGTTGTTATGGAGAGGAAAGAGGTACCTTACATTGCCTAAAAAACAGTTCAGTTTATAAAATCATGAGGCATAGGTCAAGGGGCTGCCATCACGTTCTTCCTAAAAGATTCAATCAGCAGCTACTTAGCAGAAACCCAACTATCAAGGTTAGCAAAATTCCCTACAACTAAAGGCCAGTGTTTCCCAAGTAACTCGTGCTCCTTCATCGGGGAGAATGAAGAGGGAGGCACCTCTTAGTGGTGCGGCACATCAGCGGCCAAATCCTCTGCCTGCACTTACCAGCATTAGTGTCTGGGTACAAAGGACAAGAACGAAGGTGAGCTAGAGCCATGAAATTCTCAGTTAAACAAGAGCAGAGGAATGGGCTGTGGGGCAGAAACCCCACTGTGGCGTGGCCTGACCTTGGCCCTGAAGGGATTTTGCTTGGGCTAAAGCTCTCTCCCACTCCCATTGAGAGAGAGAGAGAGAGAGAGAGAGAGAGAGAGAGAGAGAGAGAGAGAGGAAGAATACTAAGACATTGGTGAACTATCCAAACATCAAAAGGTTCTTGTGCATGACGACACACACACGCCGTTTTCTGGAGAGCAATTACCTTGTGAAGAAAGATGGGAAGGGATTTGAATTATTGGATAGCAGGCCTTTCAATGGGCTTGTCACATCTATTTCCTTAAAAAATAAGGATTGAGGCAAATATGGCAAAATGTTCACTTTAGTTGGATTTGGGAAGTGGATATGTGGATTTGTTTTATTTTTCTCTGTGCTTTTTGGGCATATCTGAAATAACTGACTAAAATTCTTACAAAAATTATTTTCTTAAAAGAGAGCTTTCCTTGCGCAGACCTGGGACAGTGGGTTTGAACTATCATCAGACAATTAAGAGTTTTTTCCAAATGGAACACTGTGTAGAGGCTGGCATTTGCCCAGGCAATGAGAGAGGTTGGCGGGTCTGCTGCCAACCAGTGCTGGAGATGTGCTTCTTGCTCTCAGGGGAGGCTAAGCTAGAAAACTTGCAAGATCTCTGAGATCTCAGTAGATCTCTGACTCATGTAGTGCATAGAAATTTAGATTGACAGGTATCTATGGTGTTCCCCTAGGTTACCGGTTACGTAGAGAGAGAGACTACTTCTTAAACACGGAGTTTAACTGCACTGGATGTAAAGCCTTATCATCCTAGGATAAGTCTGGACCGAGACCCATGGCACTAATCAGCATCCCTGAGCCCATGAAGCGTCTGTTTTGGAACCAACAAAAGGAAGTGCTCCTTTATGCATTAGGAATGTTGTAAACAGTGGCCCAGCATACACTCGAGACGGGATTTATGAAGAAGCAAAGAGCCTCCTTAGGCTTTGGAGTGAGCATCACGATGGGCAAATATTCCCTCCTATGCAACAGCTCCGGGGGCATATCTCAGGATGTGAGTCCAGGAAGGACAATTAGGCTGAGCCAAGGTGACGCCACCGACTAAGCACAGATCCTGCTTTGTACTCAGTTCTTAGCTTTGCTCCTACTATGTTCTGAATGGTAGAGGAAATGTAATGGTTTGGGTTTACAAACCAGCCATTCTCCGTGGCTGAGGAAAAGCAAATGAGCTATTTTATAGAGTAGATGTGGTCCAGGACACGAGATGATGTGACGTTAATTGATATTATTGGGTTGTCGGAGAAGTCATGATGTATTTTTTCTGTTTTTTTTGTTGCAAAAATGCGTCATGAGTTTTTGGACAACCCAATAATACAGCTGGTTGGCCATACCAGGCACTGGACTAGGTTCTTCACACACAACCTGGCCACAGATCCCCAAGAGAAACCACCAATACTGAAAAGAACTGGCTATAAAGTGATATTAACTACAAAACACAATTCCTGCCTAATCCACCCCTGAAGGCAGTGTGTTTACCTAGGGTTCAGACATCTATTTGATGGTGCGCGGACTGCTCTGTTATCAGGTAATTTAGAGGGAGGACCTACTAAGCGGAAGTGAATGTAACTATACTGAGACACTTGCTTCCATGCGTGATACAGTCAGTAACATGTAATTTTTTCCCCACCATTAACCATGGTTTTGGTGTGCCTTTTAACAATAGAAAGGCTATTAGCTACTGACACCTCTGAAGCAGAGCCCTTGAAAGAAAACACATTTGAATTCAGTAACTGGCAAGGATGCTTCCTCCGTGATGAATCATTTCAGGGAAATGTTTGATGTCAGATTAAAGAACAAAGAGCAAGATAAGACTAGGTTAATGGAGCAAAGGGTGCAGTGGATTCAAAGAGACTACATAAAAGCTGGGAGCCCACTGAATTCTGTTCACGGGCTGCAAAAATGAGCTATCATTTTGGCTGAGACTTCGTAATATGGAATTCTCTGCTCTTGCATATGCACTTCAGGCATTTGCTGCTTCTTTAAGGGCAGCTGATGGATTTCATTTCTTCATTAACCAACCTCTTCAGTAAGAAAACAACCGCTTGTGTGCTGTGAGAAGTAATTAACCCTTTGCTGGGCAAGATACCCCCCGTTTTATCAGTCACTTTTGTGCCCAGGTGTCCCAATGACCTGCTGGAGGCACATCCCAACAGTACCTAACGTGACATCTACTGTGTTTCTTAAGAAAACTGTAATTCAATTCTCAGTCACCTAGAGCAGCATGTTCCTCAATGCTCACCCGGAAACATGCCAGGAAAGCTATCAGCAGCAAGGTTCTCTTTTGCTCCCATGTTACCAGGAAGGTCTGCACGGGGAATTTAGCTCTATGTGCTGTTTGACGTAAGACAAACTTGACCGTGGCTTTGGAAAGCGTAGGAACAAACGAGTGAATCTAGGGGTCTAAGCCTAGGCTGGCGTCTTATGGGAGGGCTGCAGGTAACCTAAGAACATGGTGCTTTAACGGGAAACACTTCTGTACTGGGAGGGACTTACTGTCATATTCCTGTAATAGCTCCACCGCTGTCAAGAGAACAGCTCTGTGTTCTGGGTCCCTGATATTTAACTCATCCAGGTCTTCCTCCTCCAGGAGCTTAAAGGTGTCCAGATCTTCGTATCCATTGAACAGGAAAGTGGGCATGTGTTCCTGTGAGGGGGAAAGGCACAGAAGTGAGTCAGCAGACCCAGCCACGTGATACGTGACCGACAGCCAGCCTCAACCCCCTCAACTCTTTTTCCACAGTCATTTTTATGCTAATTGAAAGATTAGTGACTATCATTTGTAAGCTATTTTGTGCCTCCCAGTCCTACGGCTTAGTAGGCAGGCGGGGCATTTCATTAATCATGTTAAGAAGATGCACACTGCAGGCTGAGTGGGTTCCACCGGCTTGCATTTTAATTGCGCCCTTGCTACGAGTTGGATGTCGAGAGCCACACAACACACAGTGGATGAGACTGTTCTTTCATTTACAGAACTATTGAAATCCAACTCAGAAAGGCCTGCGATTTCCCCAGAAACGAGATGGTTTTGCAAAGAGGAGACAGAACCTACCACTGGAGCTCATGCTATCACCCAGAGCAGACCTGGGGCTCATGCTATCACCCAGAGCAGAGGTCAAAGGCAGCCTGAGAACGCTGATAACAATGGCTATTCATCAGAGCAACGGGCCACACCTGCTAGGATCGCCCCCCCTACCCTTCCCTCACAGTGACCTCGCTGGCTCAGTGTAGGAGGAGACGGCAGTGTGCGGCCAGAACAGGACGGAACTGACTTTCAGGTTAATCCGATCCAGGAGGTCCTCCACGGATTTGGGCTGGGGCGGTCTTCCTTTCCTCCTCCTCCTGGTGGGGCGCTTGGGCTTCTCCTCCTCCTCGTTGAGCACATCCACGTAGATGAATTTGAATGTGCCCACCTTGTTGTTCAATAGGCCCATCCAGGTGCCCATGGGTGGTTTGCTGATTATATCGATGATGTCTCCTTTCTGTAGCCCAGGGAACAAAGATCTTTCCATTAGGTACATTTCTATGCGTGACTCACAAATCGATCAGATGTGTTCATCGTGCTGATGTGAAAACACTAGGAAAGCCAGAATCAGGGGTCCACCAGTCACCCTGTATGAATGGGAGCTTGGCGGGGGGACCAGACTGAGTACGCCTGACTCTGCTGGATTCCACGAAGGCTGGTGGTCTCACAGCCTCCGCCCTCCTGCCCCTCTGGATGAAGCATTTCCCAGGGTTCGTGACTGGGGGTGGGGGTGGGGCACCTGGCTCTCTGAATGCCTTCACCCAGAGCTCCTCCATCTCAGAGAAAGAACTCCCCGCCACTCAAATGCCAGTGATGATCCCTATTCTGTAACTGCTTCATACATTTTGTGGAACTCCATCTGTCCTGTAGGAATATCAGCGATCACACAGAGAAGGCTGTAAGGTTCCTTCAGTTGGAGAAAAGGCAGAAACTGGAGGATGGAGGGCCTAACAACAATTCTAGAGGGACGCTGAGGTCAGAGGTCAGAGGTCAGAGCCAGGAGGTTGAGCACCGAGGATTAACACAAGGCCCGCCTCTGTCCCTCATGCTGGCTGGCTCGCTTTTGCTTTTCACTCGCCCAACATTCAACAGCAAGACCAGAACGCCTCTTAAAGAAACGAAGAGCCCAGGTCTGAGGTCAGGCAGACACACCTTGAGCTTGAGCGAGTCTGTGTCATAGGGGCTGGGCGTGAAGTCGGTGTGCACCCTGGCTCGCCCACAGAACGGGCCCCGGTAGGGGGGCTCCTCGTCGTCACCATCTTCCGACTTGACGCTCTCCCTGTTGCTGGTCGAGGAATCGGTGGTACTTACGGTCTGACCACCTGTACAGGAAAAATAGGAAGAACAGGGGTAAACACAGATTTCCCGCATAGCAAAGCTGAGCCACTGAAAGAACTGCAGGTTAGGGCAGTGGAGTGAAGTCATCAGAGCCACGTGAGGACCACAGCGGGTCCCAGTTATGAGTCCAGGGGAGGCTCTGAATTTTCTGATCGTTACCCCTAATCAAGCCCCTAACTGGATGGGGTAGGGGGTCCTCAGCAAGTTATCGCTATGATCTGGGAGGCAGGTGACACTGCAACTCCCTAATGGAGGACATCACAAGCCCTCAACATTCGTGATTGCTTGGTCAGGCATACCATCTTCGCCCCATTTTACAGACGAGGAAACAATCTCGAGAGGTCAAGTAACTCGCCCAAGGCCAAATGCTTTTAAAGGGGTGGGTTTAAACATGGCCTCTTCCCCCATGCCATTCTCTGTGGACGCCACCATTGGTTGGACTGGTTGACCAGCATTTGTTAATCACTTAAATTTATAATCCTCCTCCCTTCCCCCACCTCTTATTGGTCATCTTTCTGATCTTGAAGGCTTGCCTTAATTCCCCTCCATTTTCCAGATCCTTCACCTGAGAGCCTTTCCGTATCTTCTCTGATCAAAACTCATCACCTCCTCTTGTGTGTCACTGCTGCACATCTACTACTGAACAAATATGACTCTAGGTCTGTCTCTCTGATAGCATCCAAAGGGTAGGACCTTGGTCTTATTTATCTTTCAATTGCCTGAACCTGATGCTCAGTAAAAGTCCGATTGTGACTCCCAAGGAAATCATCTACAATTGCAAACCAGACAGACGTACTCATCGAGCTCTGTCCACTCAGAGAACTCCGCAGACTCTCTACAGAACCTCCGGCTTTAAGTTTGGGCTTGTCCATGTGTTCGCTGTCAGGCTGGGACGATGGAGGGGAGCCAGGCATTCCATCAAGGCCCGAGTCCTGCAAGGGGTTTCAACAAAATTGAGTTTCATCAGAGTGCACGAGTGTCATTTTGTAATTCGAAGCAGTTGAGCCCTCCACTAAATCAAGCAAATCCATCTTTATACCCATATTTGATTCCATAGCCAACATCCTCTTCCTTGTCAATCTATATCCTAACTTTGTCTTAAAATTGCGGCCCATGTAACTATTAAGCATTTAAAAATTTATTTTTCATGCTCACATAGGAGTTCTTGAAATCCCTGAGAAAAATCTATCTACCTCTTAGATAAAATATTTTGTTAAAGGCTTAGAGAGTCTTAGCACACTCAACAATTCAGAGATGAAGGTGGACTTCAAATGCAGAATCCTCTAGTAATGTAGTATCTGGAAGCACTGTCAGAAAAATATGTAACCTATTTGAAGGGAAACACACACACACAGCTCAGATACTTATATTTCTATTTACACAAATAACCGAAACTGGCTAACTCAATACCAACTTAGGATCCAGATATATAGCAAAAATATCCTTTTTCAGGCTAGGATGAAATTTCTATGTTTCCTTCACTTCTTTTCTGTGTTGTCAGTAAAATGCTGTGACATCCCTTTCGTATCAGAATGCTGACATTAGTGACTCAGCAGTACTTCTCCCTTTTGGGGTGACTATATGTCATCAGCATGGCAGCCCCTTGTTTGCACAGATAAGTACAGCATACTCATTTGATTAGTGGTCCAACATTGTCATTCTTCAAAAAGTTTGCAGTGAGAATTGCTTACTTGCCAAAACAGAGACCTCTCTGGCGTATTACACAGCCATGTGAGCACCAAACCCTCTACAAGAAACCTGTTATTTGCAAGTGCCGAATCATCAGAAGGGCTTTAACGGGATTCTGTGGGTCCTGCAAACATCTGAGGACAATAGCCATGGCGGCTTCTGATCCAGCACACGCTGTGCTTTACATTTGAAGAAAGTGAGCAGACAACCTCAAGATCAACAACTATAAACAGAGGTGCCGTTGTTGCAAAGTTACTTAAGCTGCAAAGTATGAATTCCTGAATCCATTCTCCTTCCTCTTTTCTAAATCATTAAATAAGACATCTTCCCAATTAAATTCTTTTCTTAATGCTTCTGGAAAAACACACATTTTAAAAAAGCAATGTTAAATATACACCTGATATTGTATGTTTTTAAATGCTTTAAAATTTTTTTGATTTATTCATCCCATTTTTACTGATGACCTACAAGAACAGATACTATTCCAGGTGCTGGGAATACAGCTGGAACAGAGCACACAAAAATTCTGACCAGAATGGTTGGTATATTTACTAAAACGTTTCTTTAAAAAAACTTGAAACATTATTTTTCTCTCCCCAAAAACCATTACAATTCATTCTTTTTTTTTCCTTATATGAAATAATTGTAAAAAAACAAACAAAAAAACCCCCAAAAATAACCCAGAGAACTAGGAACACAAGACTGGTATATAGCAGTAAAATTATCAAAAAATGCTCAAAATGACATTAAAATTCTATGCTCATGATCTGTAAAGCAAAAATCCCCATTGGGGTGTAAATTTACATGACCTTTTAGTAGATGTTTCAATTTTGAGGAAAAGCCAACTAAATAAAGTGCTTTCAATTAGAGATACTGCTTTCCCAGGCATGACATCTGCTTCATGGGAGAGCACACAGTTTGCTTTGTTTCTGGTCAGAAATATAGAATCACCATTGCTCCCATACCCATACGGATGAGAAATGCAAAGAATACGGAAAACAATCGTGAAGAAAACGCGCTGGAGGCAGCCCCAATTCCCCCTGTAGGTCTAATGAGCCAGAGTTTTTCAACCTGAGCACTATCAGCGGTTTGGATGAGTAATTCCTTGTTATGGAGGGCTGTCCTGTGTATTGTAAGTTGCCTCCCTGGCCTCTATCCACTAGATGTCAGAAGCACCCACCCCACCCAAGTTGTAACTGTCCAAATGCCCTGGGGTTGGTGGGGGAGCAAAATCACCCCCACCCACTGTGAAACCCTGTAATACACTGAAGATGCTGTGCAGGCTTTGTCTGAATCAGTGTGGCTGGCAGAGCTGGCTAGTTGGTGTTGCGAGGGACTCAACCAAGAGGATGCTTGGAGTAGCTGACCATGCCCACCAGAGGGCAGCAGCTGCACAGAAATGTCTGCTTTCCCTGTTTCTATTTGGTAGATGAAGCGGCATTACCTACATATTTCAAGTAGACAACCAGCACACACAGGTACTCCGACAGACTACAAAATGAACAGTATAAAGGTGCGAGAGGAGAGTGCTTTGAAAATCTAATCGTCAAAATTACCTCAAGGCCCAGCTGCCCACATCCTGGTTCCCATACAATTAAGACACAAACTGGTCCCGTTTTCTAGCGATGAACTTCTAGAATTGGAGGGGATCAATTCTGTGATACCGTAATGGGCACAGACAGAGCCGGTTAGTGAAAACACCCCCGCGGAAACAGGATTATCATCGAAGTCCTGCAGCTAAAAAAGTCTGCTGCCTAAGAAAACCTACGCATCTTCTTTAGGTTTGGTTCTGGGGACATCCATTTTGTGGTAAGGGATCTTTTAGAAAATACAGGCCTTCCTTTGTGTTCAAAAGTTAGTGCTTATTGAACTAAAGCATAATCATTTTTTTTCACATTTGTCTTTTCTCGCATCCGTACTAGAAGACAGGCCTGCGTTTTGTGTTCCCAGCACCAAGCACAGTGCTGTATCAAATGTTTGTCTACATACACTGAGCATGGTCCTGGGGCCAGGGGGTGCCAAGGAATGCACGTTTTTTAGTCTTTAAAATTTCAGACGGACCATCCTCGGCTTTTCCTGCTGTCAAGAGGAACCAAGAGGGCTTTTACCTCGGCAGTTCCATACCTGCTCAGAGACAGAACTGCTGTATTTTTTAGACATTCTCTTCCTCATTGTCTCCTTCACTGATTTCACCTTTTTTCCAAGAGAGATGCGGGAGGCCGTGGGTGATTTGATGACTTCCTTGTACATAAAATCTCCTTCTTTACCCTGCAAAAACAAAGTTATATGTACCTTGAATCACAGAAAATGAAGCCCCAAAACAAGTTTTATTACTCAAACCATTCATATTCTACCTCTCAGAAAAATACTGGCATCCCCCAGGATCTTGAAACTTTTCCTATGTTAACTCAGTGCTCTGTTATGTATCCCTTTGATGAGAAATTAAAAGCTACTCACGAAGGGGCTTTTGTTTATTTGTGTGAAGTGGGATATGAGTTACTTTGTATTTTCTTTAGTCTGGGCACATTCTTCTCCTATTATAGTTTTTTCCACAATTTTAAATACCCAAGGGGATGCATTTCACCACTAAAGAGTAATTCAGATGAACCGAACAGTTCACATAATCGAAGCAGTGAGGAATGACGAAAAATTCTACTGAAATCACATAGGAAGGTGGTAAAAACAAAACGGCAAATCTCAGTCATTACAAGTCCAACATCTGATTGGATTTACATCACTGTGGCACTTTGTGTAAAAACTAAGTGTGTAAATTTCCTTTTCTGAACAAGTTAGACTGTGGTCACCTCTTGTCCTATGTTTCACCGAAAACAGAAAACAACTTTCCCTTGAAGAATGCAGAAAAAAGTCATACTTTCATTTTGTAAAAGACTACAAAAAATTATTGGTTTATGAATCAATAAAATTTGATGTCCAGATAATCCAGTTTTATTCTTTCAGGAAATTCTCAAACACTTCGAAAATCATAGATGGGTGTTTCAGCTGATACACAACCATGACAGCATAAGCATGGAATCTTAAGTTCACACATTCCTGACAATATATAAAGGGAGAACAAAACTGTGTGTAAAATTCACCTACACCCCTGGGTGTAGCAAGGACACGTAGGGAGCAGAACTTGTACAGCACAGTGGTGGCCTGTCCCCAGACCGTGACCCAGAAGTAGGTTTGAGGAGGCAGTAACCTCGGCCCTCAAGAGTCTGGTTCGCTTTGGCCCCAAGGAGACTGGGTTCATCTCAGGACACTCCGGATCAGAAAGACCTAGGCTTCGTCTGTGGCTATGTACTTGACCTATGATAAGACTGGTCTTTAGAAATGCTGGCACACACTCTTGAGCCCAAATCCCATCGTGTCACACTACCTGGGCATGGCAGTCATGTGCACTTCAAACTAGTCTGAACCAAAAGCACGTGTGCACAAATGACTGAGACCATAAAAGCCAAACTCATCTGGGTTTGTGACTTGGAGAAAGCTGGAAACAAAGGCATTGAAGGAATGGTGCTACAACAAGGAGAAAGACAGAGGCCGAGGTGGTCATCATTCATTCCGCATGGCAGAGTGATGCATATCTAAGATGGGTGAAGTAGGGCTTCTTCTCGATGTGATTTAGGATCGCCTTTAGGAAACGGCTACCCAGTACAAAATCTCAAAGATACTAAATGTGAAACTATGTCAACCACACGGCTTGATGATGAACCTCTTACTTTCCCTCGGACGCATACTCACCATTGGGTCAGAGTTATTACTGCCAATGTGCAGAGAACGATTTGTCAAATCAAACCCTCCAAAACTGCAGGTTCTCTGTGGAAAGGAGAGGGCAGGGCAGGAATAAGCCAGTTATGCTTAAGTCAGCCAGCAGTGCACCAACCCAACACCTTGCCCATCCGCAGGACATCACTGAATCACAGATATGTCACAGGATGAACGTAGGAAACGAGAAATGATGAGGAAAAAAATACATGATTCATGGTCAAGGGAAACTGCTTATGGAGCCCTTCCACAGGCCACTGGGACTGTGCCCACACCAGAGGCTCAGGATCCCCTTAACACGCAAAACCCAACTGGTTAAAAAAAATACAACAAAACCATCCATGCTTAGTTAAGTGCTCTAAGATTCCCTGTCTCTTAGCAACAGACATCACATCCCCTCCCAGTCCTGGCTGCATACAGGAGTGATCATGAGGGACTACGTCCTAAGGGACCCATGTGCTCAGAAGGGCCTTAGAAACCCAGGTCTGAAACCCTACGGCTCTGTCACTGACAGCAGCCTTTTTTAACAGACTCTTTTTTGTTTAGTTTAAATTGCTAAGAAAGGGGAAAATAGGTTATGTTTACAGTAGTCCAATCAGGCCAAGAGGATTACTCACTCATTGCTTTCCTGACCTAGCCAAAAATGCTGGCAACTTTCCCATCTAACTTCCCAACTTAATTATGACCCTTTTTCTCTGAGTGTCTGAAGTTGAAGACATCACATTTGCCCAGAAAGAAAAAAGTTGATTCAGTGACTGTCTCTCACCACACTCCTTGATTTCAATAGGAAAAGCACAGATGTTATAATGAAAACTTTAATGTGCTTTCAGTGGGTTTCAAACTTTATGAAACTGCTTATAGTTTAGTCTCTTCTATTTCCCAGAACTTGGTTTGAATTCCCTTTTCTTTTTCTAGCAAAAGCTACTCAAGGGCCATTTCCACAACCCTCCCCCCAAAAAAGAGGAACTGAAAGCCCATTAATTCTTGTGATAAGTGATTCTCTTTTTAAGCAACTGGTAATAAAAGTTGAATAGAAGATTTGGGTTCCAACAGTTTGTATTATCTGTTTCTCAGAGAGCTCTAGGTAACGCTACTAAATGGAAGAAATGAATATAAAGCACAATGTGTACTATAAACATAAACGCTGCTTATTTAAAATAAATGCACTTTAGATATATGGATGTTAACTGAACTAGGGAAGTAACATCCAGGAAGGAACATGCCTAGGTTTTTGGAATCACACAGGCATGGCTCCAAATCCTGGCTCTGCCACTTACTTGGCGGTGTGACCACAGGTACTTAAACTCTCTGAGCTGTAGTTTCTTCAACAGTAAAATAGTATATATTTGAAGATTTCTAGCACACTTCCTGGCACAAGGCAGACGTTCTCTGAATGCTGGTTGCTTCCATTACTTCTCATTAGAGCTACACTGAGGACTGTAGCTTGTTCCAACAATCGTTATACCAGTGTTTAGGTTTGGTCAACATTCTAAACATGCGAATGAAGGACTAGAGCTTGCTCCTGGGCCTTACATTCTGGGAGCTTCAACTGTAAAACCAGAGCATCCCAGGAATGGGCGGAAAGGTGAGAGACAGCAGGTGTGGCAGAAGGGAGGGCCAGGGGATGCAGAAGTGGTACAGGAGGCATTTAGGGATCACCAACATTCAGGATGTCACATAACTGTTCTCCTTCACCAAGGCTGTTGTTGCCATTTTAAATAATCTATCACGGCCATGATTTCCGGTGGACATTATTCTAATTTATATTAAATATAAATGGACACGCCTATTTCCCTTATGGTCAACGTAACTAGACCTATATCTGTCCTATAAAAACAGAAAGACTTCTTTATGCAAACACGCTCACCAAATCCTCTAACCTAGCAACAAGCAATGTTATGACCACCTCTCCAGGCTACATTTTAACATTAACTTTCTCTTTCCAGCTTATAATGCCAACTAGATTTTCTCACTTTTGCAAAGGTAGTGATTTTATTCCAGTTGTTTTCCTGTGACTCTGGACTGCACAGACATAGTGTGGCACCCGGATGCCTCATCGTTTTATGGCTTTTGTGCTTCCCTGCTTTAAATTCCAGCATCGACTGCCACACTGGAGCCCAGCATGTTATTTCTGATGCACACGAAAGAACCGACAAAGAATTTATGTGGAAACTATGACTGTAATGAACTAGAAGCTCATTCGCGTCTTTGTATGCCTGCTGTATGCATTTACTCCTAAAAGCTTCAAGAGTGGACGGTTATCTTACTAACGAACTAAAACCTCTCCACGTGATATGCTAAGATACCTGGAACTAATTCTTCTTAATGTAGAAAGAGCAAAGAATGTAACAAAGAACACTACTTGAACGAATCGCTAACTTTTTCAGTAACATCAAGTATTGTACTTCATGAAGCACCATCCCTTCAACAGAGAAAAGAGATTGCAGAGAGAATAGGTAAAGGAAGTGAACCAATCTCTGGCTTCGGTGGTCTACATAAATGAGGTCTAAATGAGGTTTTCTAAGTTCATGTATCTCCTGAGTAGATAATTATAAGAAGGTTTTACATAAATGCTTGTGGATGAGGAGAGCCAGTCAATGCAATGGTCATGCAGTTGAAAACATGTTTGTTGAGTTTTTTTTTTAAGGGCGAGTGAGGGAGGTTGAATTTTAAAAATGGACAAAATTCCAAAATGTCATGCATGTTTGTTCCACCAAACAAAAATTGAATGACCAAATAAAAAGCAAGACAAGTGACCATTTCCAGTGAATACAAAGCATTATCATTTCCATGAGGTTTCATCAAGCAAAAATGGCATTCTTTTGAAAGAAGAAAAAGATCAAGGTTGAAGATTAAAGGAAACTGTGCACTTTGGGATAAAGTTAAGGGGCTATATGACAAAGAGAATGGAAAAAACTTTAAGGAAGCCAAGCAAAGAAATTGTCTTAATCCCTTCAAAATAAAAAAGGCTCTTTCTATTGTTAATTAGATAATTAAATTTTCTTTTCCTGATTGGACAGCTATACTTATAATAAAAGGTACGTGTAAATTTCTAATTTAGCATTGAACACATCCTTCAACAAGTATTAATATTGCCCAGCCTCAAGCTCACAGTACCTTAAAAATATCCAGACTCAGGCTGATGCTTGAAACAGAGATTACACAGTGCCACTTTTACAGCGGGGGGAAAAAATTGCTCAGATGTCCATACTATTATAAATGTCAATGATGAATTAATCACAGGCCCACGATGTTAATTGGCACAAATCTTAGAAATGTAACTTCTGGAGAGAAAATCTTGGTAAAGTAATATCATTACCCTGGTAATAAATATAGGGGCACACGAACAACTCAAGGAACTCAGCATGGAAAATTTCTCAGCATTACATGATTTAAACTCATGGAGCTGAGTCATCAGTTAACAGAAGAGGTGGATCTGATCTATCAAGGTCATGACAAAAGGTACAGATACCCTGGGCAGAATACTTCTAAAGGTGAAAAGTAACTTACACCAAGATTGGTTAGCCACAAGTATTTTACAAAAGATTTGTGGGTCAGAGCTGAATAAGAAAAAGCATTATTATATTACAACAAAAATGAAACCACCCAAAATTATCGCCAAGATGTGGAAAGAACCAGAAGAAAAGTTGTTACTAATAGTATTGAAAGTGTTGCAAGACTGATACGAATGTGAAAAGATGGGAAATTAGGTTTAGCAAGAAAGTCAACACATGTGGGAACATCTGGAAAACCTAGGCGCTAAGGACAGACCCAAGGGTCCTTTTAGAAGACAGATGGTCATCGTAACGATGGCACTGGCCAATCAGTCTCCATTTTCACAAAGCAGAACTTTACTGAATTGAAATTACAGTCATCATCTGGGGAAGAAAATCTTATTCATGAACGTGGAGGAAGCCCGGTAAAGCCCCTAAGAGAGGTTGCCGGAGCCTATTCCTTCCGATCTTTAAAAGGGGGCAGAGCCAGCAGTCCCAAGTGGCTTAAGCAGGGCACCAGGGGACAGCAGGCCAGGAAGCCCACAGCTCCCCCTCTTTCTGCACCATTTTATCTGGGCTACTGTGCAAACTAAAAGGGGTGGGCACTCCAGGGGCAAAATATCTACATTCTTAAGTTCAAAATAAGTCATGCCCTGAAAATAACTTTTAGAGTCTCTAAAAAATTCAGTAATAAAACTGAAAAACATTTTAGTATTTGAAAGCAAGTACCTTATTCCTTGCTATATATACAAGAATCTAGAGAGCTGTGGAGGACATTTTAAAAAATTGGTCCGTTTGATTAAAAAGATTAAGAACATCAACTAGACTTCAGTAAAAGAAAAGAGCTCTCATTTTTTTCCCCTTCAGATTTCAATTTTTTTTTTCCGTTTGCCTCTACTAACAAAAGAAACGTACCTTTCACCATGTTTCCAAATCACCAAGTTGGTAACTGTGGTGATGCCAATCTTTCCATGAGCTAGCTCCTATTGTTTTAACTAACTGAATAAGCATCTCTTTTAGGGGCAAAATGTCCTCTGTTTTCAATCAGCTTCTTTGAGGTCAAGTGACGTGGTGGCTGGAAATCAAGACAGCCACTCCTAGAGGGAGGCCAAACCCCACCCCGCTCTCTGACAGCTCTCTGGATCAACTTCGATGTTTAGTTTTAAATGAAAAATCGAACAGCTTCCACTGGCTAGAGGACACACGGAAAAGAAGGCGAAGCCATCACCGAATGGAAGGAGGATTAGAAATCTGAGATGATGGTGGACTGGAGCCTGAAGGTATGAAGTTATGAGTAGGAGAGAGGGGGGGACGCCAGGCTCCACAGAGGAAAAGGCCATCATGCTTGACTGCACATCACAGAAATGACAAGGCCATCCTGGTGACCCTCTTGGTGACTCACGGACTTCTGGTGGATTCTCAAGAGAACCCTTTTAGTACAGCGGTCGACTGTGGCGGCCCATTTCCTCTTTGCCTCCTCATCCTCCTCCAGCAAACACCTCCTCAGGTCCTGTTTCTCAGCCTTGCTCAGGGTCCTGTCTGAGGCAGGACGCACTAGCTGGGTCAAGTTCAGGTGGCTGTACAGGCTCCGCTCCACCACGTAGGTGATATTGAACTCGCTGACCGCGGGGCGCCCGCGCACCCTCCTGCTGGGGACGCCGCAGCCCCCTCCCCCTTTGGGCCTCTGCCGGAGCAGCTGCAGGTCACAGGTCATGCTGTTGTTAACTCCTTTTCGGGAGGGACGCTGGCAGAGGAAAGCTCTGGAACATGAATAATTAGTATCCGTCTTCTTCAAGCGGATTTGCTTCCGGACACTCTGAACCTCTTCCAGGGACACTAGAAGGTGGTGCTTACGACGGTGGTTGTCATAGAAGCAAACACCATCCGTACTTACCCCGTGGCTCAGGGACCCGAGCCCCTTCTTCATCTCCCCCTCAGTGAGGGAGCGAGAGACCTTCTGGGCTTTCTCTTCTTCTGGATAGGAGAAAAATGTCCCCATCTTTTTGGGGGGCTTAATGAGGCCTCGGCCCTCTCCTTTGCTGAAGGTTTTGACCAGCTTCCGGCCAGCTCCCCAGGTATCCAGGCTGCTAGATGATGGAGAAGTGGTGAGGGGCTCTGAATCATCTTCAGGAGGTTTCTCAGGGGAGCCATCAAAGAAGAAAGGCTTCTTGTGCACTCCAGAGTAAAGGGCGGCCCTTTCATCCAGGACGGGCGAATTCTCAAACACAGGCTCCTCCCCGCCTGGAGAGGAATCAACAGACAAGCTCAGGGCCTCCATCAGCATTCCTCTGCATTCTCTCACCCATCTTTCTTTATGCACCCCTCCCCCACCCTGCAGAACATAAGCTAGTCCACGCAGAAACCACATGGACCTCCCTTCCCAAATCACTTATCCTATTCATAAACCCGGCTCTCACTTAAGTAAACGCATACAAAACAGAAAATAACCAAACTGCAAACGTATGGTTTCACACAAACTCAACGTTAGAAGCCTTCAGATGTGTTTTCTTCGCCTTCTTTAAATGTCTTTGTAGACCAAACACCTTAACAGGCCTATTTAAAATGCCATTTGGAAAAATCTAAGTCATTGTCGCAATCTTCCTTATCATTTATGACAGATAATTACCCTCCCCAGTTGGTAAGTGGAAGCCTCAGAAGCTAGGACTCCGCATCTCTCTCCTTCCAAAAGGCCCTCCCTGTTGAGCGTGGCTGGCTTTTTACACTCAGAGCGCGATGAATGCCACGTGGCTGGTACCTCTGCCATTTAAGTAATTAAATCACCAAGGGGGGTTTGGGTTTAGAAACCCCAGGAAGGGCTGTACCTTGCAAAGCCAACTGACAAATGGTCCTCAAACACAAAACGTTGGGGAACTGGGGGATCCCAGCCAGACTTTCCCATTAAGTCAAGCCCTGCTAGGAGCAGCAAGGGCATTTAAGGGCCTGGACACGTAGGCAGTCCCATCGAGTGTTCCACTGTGTCTCAAGGATTCTAGCTCTTGAAACCTTTGCCGGAGCCAGGTGTGGCACCAAGCCCTCTGGAGCCCAGAGGAAAGGTCTGGACTTGCTGGCAGGCAAACTGAGTTCTTTTCTGCTTGTGTGATGTGAACAGATGTGAGAAAGAAGTAGGTCAAACTGTGGGTGTAGTGACCCTCTCTGGCTGTGTCCCTTTAATTATAAGGGAACTTTTGAGCACCAGTGGCTTTCCACCAGCTGAATTGTTAAGAGGAAAAAATACAAAGTTTCCTGGAACCGAGGAATGGCACTGAATATACCCGCTGGGATGAGGGTGCCAGCATGTGGTTAAATGTCAGAGATAAAGGGAAAGGACTGCTCACTTCAGAGAGGGGAAAAGATGAGAAGATTGGTAGCAGTCCTTTAAAATTCCAAAAGTTTCTTCCTTTTCCAACTAATGGGAATTACAGTCACAAATATAAAGGAAAAAAGAACTGTTACCGAATACAACCCAAGATTGACTTTGACGTCAAGGAGATGGGAGGGAGAGTGCAGGCTATGCCCTCTCCAGAGTCCTCCACAATCCACAGCCCAAATACATTCGCTCAAGAATTATTCCTGGATCTTTCTGGAGAGTTTAAAATTAGGGTCTAGGGTTCTGACAGGAATCTGCCAGCCCTGAGGCAGTGTGCGAGCATCATGCAAGTTTCCTGCTCCTTCCTCGGGACATCTGATGGATAAGGTATGGAGACCAAGGGTTCCTATGCTGCTGGAAGTAAATATGGAAGCAACCTCTTCTAGATCCAGTCTACTCCCCACTTCTGGGAAGAAAGAAGTGATGGAGTCACGAGGCACAGCCTGGTGGTTGAGGTGGCCCAACCGCAGACTTCTCTATAAAAGCAGTCCAATCACAGATCATGGCTTTACACGGAACCCAGGTGTCCACGAAGGCATGCGCAGGCCCTTATCTACCTACTCACAGTCCTAAGGGCTTTGGGAAAAGTCAGGTGGGTTGATAAAATATTTTAAGGAAGTGTCTGTCACTCAGCAGGGGTTTGGAAATTTTCTGGACTCTTACTTAGGGTTGTCATCAGAGATTCCAATACTTCCATGTCACATTTGAGTTTGGAACCAGCTGGTACACACATACCCATGGCATATGGAACTCTACTTTCTGGTTCTGGAAGTCAGCATCTGGTACGGAGTATGGAGGCAAGTGTGGCAAATATTTCCAAAGTGGCCACATCAGCCTGTGCTGAGGGCAAGACTCCCATGGTGTAGGCTCTTCTGTCAGCCTGAAATCCCAGCCTGGACTTGATTCCTTGAGTTTAGAGCATTACTTCTACCATTCCCCTCTGACTTGAAAGTACAGCTAACCCTCCCGAGAGAATAATACTCAGGATGTGCTCCCTCCATCATCATTTGGTCTGACCAGCTTCACATATTGACCTTTATCTATTTGATTCAGTGGAGATCAGAATACAGAAGGAAAGGTGATTTTGACAGGAGGTGGGAGGTAGGCTATAGGATGACTTAATGCCAAGAACACAGATGTATGCTCTAGATCCCAGCGCTGGCTCTGCCACTCACCATCTCCATGACCCTGGGCAATTACTTCCATCTCTGAGTCTCCGTTTCCTCACCAAAAATAATGTCTCCCTATCTTAGGAACATCTACCACCAGGATATTGAGAGGATAAAATTAAATGAAAAGAGATATGTGAAGGCACTTTATGAAGGGAAAAGCGCTGTACAAGAGCCCATGATTCATTATCAGGTTACAGATAAGCTGGAGCAATGCGGGAGGAGGGTGAGAGGGTATTGGCTGTAGGAAAAAGACACAGAAATGGGCAGATGAAAGGCTTACAATTTATTAGGTCTAGGGTTATCCATGCCCCAGATAAGGACTTGGAACTCAAGTTACAGGGGTGAGGCTGGGAGAAGGATTCTAACTCTCCAGGCTTTTCCAAGCCCCCAGAGCGTGGGAGCCAAGTGGAGAGCCAGGATGCAAACAGCCAGGCTGCCTGGACTTAATTCTGGGTCTTCTGAGGGTGGGCTCAGTGACCCTGAGTCAATAACTGCACCTCTTGGTGTCTTCATCTCCTCGTTGGTGAAGTGAGGATGGTATTAGTGCCTGGCCTGCCTCTGGTGGCTATTCTGATGACATATTAAAAGATCAAATCTAAAGTGTCTAGGAAAGGGCACACACAGAATGCTCTCAATAAATACTGAGGCAACTTAGTATTGGCCCAGGCGTGCAGGAAGTCCCAAGGGTCCCATCTTTGAAGGTCCAGGGGTAGGGGGGACAGGTTATCGGGAGTTTGAATCGTTACCATTTTGCAGAAGCAGGGGCCAAAGTAGCCAAGTACCAGCTCTTTTGCTACTGAGGAACCTTAGAGAGTTCTGCTATGCAGGGGTTGGGTGGAGCTCTAATCTAGCAGGGTGATAGGGGGGCAAACCCACATCAGATGATGCCCTGGGCTGCACAGACACCCAGGGCCTCTCCTGGCAACATCAATAAGCCTGGTCACCAGCACCCCAGCTCCCCAGCCCATCAGACACCAGCTCCCTGAATCCGTCATCCATCTGGACACCTACTTCATATTCCTATGAATTAAAGTTCAAAATCAAAAGTCCATGTGGTCATTACTTTTTACCCTGGAGCTATCACTTTTGGTATATTTTTCCTTTCTTTCAATGAATTATGTCTCTCAGAGTTGGCTGAATTGATTTATTCTAATAAATATGCAAGATGGAATATTTCTGTGTTTTTACAAATGTTATTCTAGTGGAAAGGTACCTCAACACATGTGATTCATGTGCCCCCACACACATGACTGTCACGTATGAAGGAGATGACGAGGTGGTAGATCCAATACTAAGTACTTCACTCGTTTTATCTCGTTTATGGGTAAGACCCATCAATCTAGTTGTGATACTTCAGACTGACTTTTGACAAGTGTGCATGAGATTTTAAAATGTGGTGCCAAGGTCCAACGATGGCAATTCCATATGGCTCTAGTTAATACTGCCAGTTGACACTGTGTGTATGATTTCAGTAAGAGCTGCCATGGTGAGCGTAAAGCAGACTCTATTCTATATTGTAAAAACCACAGATGGCAGGTAGGTATTAAAGCTTCCAAAGGTAAAATCAGCATTGTACCCAAAAGTACACAAAATTCCCACACAAAAAGACACCCAAATGAAACCCTGGAATTAAACACAACTCTAAGTTTATGAAACTGGTCATGAAACAGATCTTTCTCTCTCTCTTTCTCCTCCTTTTTTCCCCCTTTTAACCTCCCCTCTCCCACAGTAACCCCTTTACCTACAATATTCCTCTAGGGGATTCTAACTGATAAATAATTACAACAAATGAAAATAAAAAACAGGAAAACTTCATCTATGTAAATAAGGAGAAATTCAGTTCCCTCCATGGCTTGATTTTATTTATGTACAACAAAAAAGGCCTCTACAACATGAATTTTTAATCCACGTTAAAAATTTGAAATTCCTCACAACGTAGAAGTGAAATTTTAACAATATGCTTTTCTTAAAAGAAAAAGAAAAAAATTCTTTCCAGCATTTTTTCTGATTCACTTATCATTTTTCAAACAGGAAATCCTGTTCTTTTACTCTATCTTTTGGAAGAATTTTACGAGATGCTGCAAATGCACATTACTAACGAAAAAGAGAGACAAATCCACTTGTGATTTAAACTGTCATAATTACACTTCAAAGGTTAACTATTCATTCCAATAAATCCAGGCTCTTACCCCTTTTGACATTATTGCTTCTTCTGACAAGTGGCTTAGCCAGCAATATAGCTCTCAAAGATACACTTAGGATGGAAGGTCCTTAAAGCCCCATTTGAATTGGAGACTTGAGACAGTTTACAAGAAGAACAAATCACCCCTCTGAGGCCCAAAAGGATATTAAGTGCCTTGATTGTTAAATGTTTGTTTGAAATGGATGTATATCAAATTTCCACTAAATTCACTGGGCAAGAACCACTGTCCTTTTGGGGGCAGAAGCTTACACTAAGAGGAAGTTATAAAGATTCGCTAAAATGATATAAGCTCAAATTCAAGCTATGCCACACCTTGAGAAGATTTCATTGTCATATACTGGCCAGTTCCTATCTTTGTACTATTTACTTTACAATTACTAAGCCCCCAAAACGCTGGGCACCAGATCCTTCATCCTATAACACGCTGAGGGTTGCTGTGCTGACATGCAGACCCAGTTCTCTCTCTGACAGCCTCGCCGGAACTCAATCCACTTTCCATGTGAAAGCATATTCTTTTTCTACTGAAAAACGGACCCCAAACAGTTTACTTTGGAATAAGCAGAGTAGAGTTGGCTTTTTTACCTTCAGTGCTGGGCTTTTTCATGTCTTCCACCCTGATTAGTTTCTTTCTCACTCTGCGAGTGGAGTTTACCAGCTTGTGTAACCTCTTAAACTTCACCGACTCCTCGGTCTCATCATCCGACTGTTCTCTTGACTGGCAAAGAAACAAAGGAAAAGTTAATCAGAGAACCTGCCCCAGAGTTTTGTTCATGCAGCGGGGTGCAGCCTGGCCTCACTGCCCGTCTGAAATTCGGAAGTTCTGCAGCTGAACTTTGGGGAACCAACAAATTTGCCCAACAGGTTCATGAAGCTCCACCTACCATCTCAAGGTCTAGTGAGTGCAGAGTTAGGTCCTAAGCAACACAGCACACACCCTTGCCCTTCACGGGCATGTGGTGCATTTGTCTCAGCTACTTCCCGGTCCTCTTTCAGGAGAATGTCACAGGACTCTCTCCGAGGCTGGCCCTGTAATTCCAGTTTCACTGCCGTGGTTTTGGGCCAGGCTCTCATCTGTCTGGCCCATCAGGACTTGCTGTTTAAACGTGGTCACCAACTACTCCTCCAAACTAAAATTCTGTTGACTTGTTCCAGTCCTCCCCGAAAATCAAAAACAGAAGGGCAGGAAAAAGGAAGAGATGCAAAAAATCCGCCTTCTGTCTCACTTTTTAGGACCGTCTGCCACATCTCAGCCATCCCTTCCGCCTCTCTCAGCTCTTTCCAAGAGCTCACAAGGCGAGCATGAGGACAGCCCCTGCATTCCTCCTAGCGGGACAAGGGAAAAAGCTGACCTTTTCAGCCATACAGCATAGTCCATATTCCCTAGCATCCCATTTCATGTTGCAGCGATTCAAGTATGCTCAGCCCAGCTGTTTTCCCTCAAGTATCCAACATTACAGAGAGAGAGAAAAAAAATTCTCTCCGCAGCAGTGACCCAGGCAAAAAACAATCCTTTCCTTGTGAACAAAATGAGGGTTTCGCTTCCAAGTCGGCTCCAGCATTCAAAATGCAGCTTCCTCTGTTTTATCTGTTCTAAATGTAGGGAAGCATAAAGACGTCTCCAAGGAAATGGGCTGCTGCCGCCCGGGCCAGGGGCTCGGGCATTCCCGGGAGAGCACAGCCTTGGCGGAAGTGCGCAGCCGCGGAGGCACACCCATGGCAGCTGGAGAGCAACTCCGGCTAATCCTGCTCATCCTGGCAACAGCCTTCTCTCCATTTCCTCAAACCTCGTTTACTGAAAGAGTAGACAGAGAAATGCCTCCACTGAAAACACAAAACAAAAACAAACCACATCTCTGAACACGAGTCCAACATGGAGACTTTCCCCGGAAAAATACACTCATGCATCGCAACTTTACAGACAACCAAGTCGGTAGGTAAGCAAGAGCGAGCCGAGAACAAACAGTTCAAGAGGAAACGAGGTAACAGATTAAATGAATTAGGCATAAAAACGGTGCATGTTGTGAGTCCACAAATATTTCCGAGGCACTTTGGCTTTATGTAAGGGATAAATACAACTCAGTCAGGGGCCTGTGTCCTACCCCTGGAGCTACGAGCATCGAGCCACTGCGCTTTCTCCCAGCAGGACTAACAGCAAATAATTCACTCACTAAAGAATAAGTATTATAACCCACAAATGACAAGTCATTGGACAGGGGTACTTCCTTCCGTGCAGTGTATCAATATCTATTTTCAATTTCTCTAAAACTGCTAGACAGAATGTTGCATACACATTTCAGAATTAAAGTTAACCATTGGTTGCCCGGTAATCAAGAACAGAAATCGGACCCCCAGTTAATGCGGGAAAGGAGGCTACCCTGCACACTGACAATTAGGCTTAATGCATTTGGTCTAAAATTCAAAACGTAAAAAATTAAAATGAAATAATATAGCTCCTACTATATAATGATACTTTGGTTTGAATTTCATTTTTACTTGACTGAATTCATTGTTGAGGTGCGATGAAACGGCTGGAGTGGTCAACCAGAGGAATGAGAACTTGGTTAACCCTCTTTCTGGGTAATCAGCCCCTGAACAAAACCACAGTGCATGGAATCACACGTAAACATTTAAAAACATTCTGACTCCTTGATGTATCTCAAAAGCCACAGGCAATTCTAACAGAGGAATCAACATTAGATTACAGGAAGTCTGTGGACATACTAATGGGACAAACCTAGAGTATGTCTGTGATCTTCACATTAGAAAGTGTGAAGTCAAGTGAGAATGAAATGAGCATGGGTTGTTTATAGTCGAGATACTGGAAAGTACATTAGAGGAAGAAAATCACAATGTGTATGCACTTCATGCGTAGCTGGGGGTTGCTGGCAGTGGTTGGTGGTAGGCTGTGTGGGTATGTCTGTGTGTGGGTGTATGAGATGGGGGAAGCAAAAAGATAAATGGGATACAGAAAGAAATAATATAAAAATCTTTGCGTCCAACAAAGACACAAATCACATGTAGGAAACGAGCCATTAGAGAGAACTTTTCCGGGAGAAATCAAAATAGTTAAACCAGGGCAACAGATTGAAAGGCAATGAGCCCCCCACTCCATCCCCGAGTCCTAATTTCCTCTGCCCAGATTCACTGTGGTGAAAAATAACATAGTCCAGGTACTTATTTAATTGCTTTCACATGTTCCATCTATTTTGGAGAAACAGGAGCTCTTTAGAACTTTGAACTAAGGTTACTTTTATTTTTATTTAAAAAAAAAAGAAGATTTTGGAGGCGTTTGCCTCTGACAAACCACAAATCATAGCAACCAATAACTTTCTTTGTGTTATCATGTTTTGGACAGTAGACAGGATAGATGCAGCATAATTTATATGAAGAAAGATGTGAAATAAAACCAAAGTCACTCTCTATATATGCGAAATATGTGTGTGTGTGTGTGTGTGTGTGTGTGTGTGTCTGTGTGTGTCTGTGTGTGTATTTGTTTATAAATAGAAAACCTCCTGTTAAGTAGCCTAGAGGTTACTGCAGTTGAACAGTGTATCTCAAGATGCTTTTGATTGATAGAGAGGTGTTGACTTCTCACTTCCTCCTGAGTCCAGAGGAAAAAGAGCTGTGAAATATTTGCCTTTAAAAAAATTCTCTCCAGCTGTTTTAACATAGAGACTCTGTAAAAGGCACACATTTCTTTTAAACTTAAATTCCTTTTAGGTTTAAATTCCTCATTTCATGTCTCTCCTTTTAACATGTTCCACTTCCAAAATGCTAGAAATAACATATATTTTCATTCAGAAAATAACACCCCCAGAGATGGGGGTGTGAGAATTTAAAAAAAAAAATTTTTTTTTTAATGAAATTTTCCCACATGGAGGAACTTTGTAGAAGATGAAGGAAATGTGCACTGTATATAAAATGAATGACTGATTCCAACACATAAATTCAGAACTATTATAAAATAGGTTTTAAATAAACTACCGTGAAAAAAGAAAAATAACAGTATATATTTATACACATTCAAATATGATATGGTCTCCCCTCCTTGTCCTGCCCCAAGGTCAGAATACTAAAATAAATTTTAACTTGTTCATCTTCTAAATGAGAAGGTAGGGACTCAATTATCTGTATAATACCCCCCACACCTCTGAACCTTTAGTAGAAAAAGGCAATTAATTTATCCCACCAAAGGATGTGGAAAAGTGGGATTTACAACATTGTAAATAGAAACATTTGATTTCCAGCCTCTCTACTGCAGATTTTTCCACCAGAAAGCCCATATGGCTCAACTTTTAATTACTTTGGCTAATGCTATATGTAGTAATTCTGTGGTGAATGCTTAAGTGTTTCATTTCTGGTTGCCATGGCAACATTACATCAGATTGCAGACAGCTGGCTCCACAGTTTTAAACCATAACAAAGTGACCAAGCCAAGGCACAAAACTATAGCTGCTTTAAAGAGATAGAGTACACCACTGCCTGCCAGGGTGCTGAATGAGGAACCTACGGGGCCCGTTTGGCTTGTGAAGGAGGGTGGAGCCTCCTTCCTTCTCAGCTTCTTTTGGAACATGTGGGTCCTTGACACATCTGCAGTGTTCTAATAGGAAAGACATGGAGCCAGCATGGAGACCTCCTTATAACACAGCTACAATTAAGAATAATCGGGAAAAAGGAACACAACAGCATCTGTAGAAACAAACGTTTGTGTGCTGGAGCAAACTAAAAGCGTCCCCTCACTGTTCAACGTAAGCCTGTCACTGCGGGTCAGCGACACTGCACCCTGTAACAAACAATTCTTGCAACTATGATGCAATAGAACAAATGTTTTCCAAAAGCTGCATGGCACACTGGTGCAGGCTCAGGAGTGATGGGCTATAAAGAAGGTTACACCCAACTTGCAAGGAGCCACTAGAGAACCCTTTTGGGGACCGCTTGAGACCATGCTGAGCACAGGATTACAGCTGAGCCTTTTGCAGAAACACACTGAGCTGGATTCTCAGGCTCCAAACGTCCCACATGCTGTCTCAATTAACAGCCACTAAGTCAACTTATCTCCCCCAGAGCCAGCACAGAACACTATAAGGTATTTAAGCATTTCTGAAAAGTATTCTGAAACTGGAAATGTATTCGCTTGTGAAATTCACACAACCAATCCTGGTTAACCCACTGAGTAGCAGACATACACCCCTTAACTTCCTAGGTCTGCTTTGTCGATGGCATTACATTTAAAGTTAAGAGAAGGAAACCGATCGCTGGTAGGTTTATGAAAAGCAACCAGCAACGCTGCGTGAAGTCAAGTCCTCCACACTGAAAGCCTCCACAGCTGACAACTGAGCTCCAGCCCCCCTGCACACTCAATTCCTCGCATTCTCACTTTATTGTCAAAATAATATTCACTTTTCTCCTCCAAAAGCGATGCCTTATTATTGGGTGAGCGCGCTAAGGAAAGAAGGCTCCGAGTTACAAGGTAGAAAAGTAAACAAGGGAAGGACAAATCTAGAGGAATTTGAATAGAAAAGAGCAAAGCATGTAGCCAGGAGTAATCAAGAGCTTCTCTTTGAAGTGACAGAAAGCACATTTTTCCTTTCACAGGAAACAGACCCAGAGAACTTACCGGCTTCGGCATTTAGCAGGCCTAAGGGGCAATTTTGAGCGCGACGGGTACCCCCACCCCTCCCCACTTTGCGAGCGTCTTCACTCTCGTCCCGTCAA